GCTTCCAGCACCAGGTAGGTGATAGCTTTGTCAAAGGAATAAATCGCCAATTGATAGCTGGTGATGCTGCAAATATGCTGTCATGTACCTGGTAGGAGTCTGAGATGACAAGGTTGGCCTATTTTGTATCTCCAGCCCAGGCCCCACTGAGGGTGGTACAGATAGTACCGAGGGACCGAAGAAACACAGGTGCCAGCACGTTGACGAAAGAACTTGCAACGGGAAATGCAGGCTCAGTAGGTTTGACAGGACATTAGGTCAAGAACCAGAGTGGAGCAGTATGGGCCATCCAAGGTTAAAGAGGAACTCTGCATGTGCCGCAAGTTCAGAGAAAGAGGCTTGCCAGAGCTTCCAGCAGACTTGACACAGGGATGCACTCTGGAGACTGGAGCCAGTGTGGGCACTCAGGAGCAACATGAATCCAAATCAGAAACAGGAGCAAGGTCACAGAGAAAACTGAGGTCAGTAGCAGGCAGGCAATGAGGTACAAAAGTGTAGACAGAAGCATGGTCGGGAGCAGAGTCAAGGTCAGGAACAGGCAGGCAGAAATACAAGCAGAGTCCAGGATCAGGTTGGTCAGTAACAAGCCAGATCATCAATTGAAAACAGATACAGGATACTTTTGGGACATGGTAAAACTGATGACCAGTCTGTACTGTTGATGAGCAAAAGCCTCCTGTGTGTCTGGTCACAATTCTATTGGTGATACCATGCCCCTACGCAGACCTGTGTGCCAGTCGTTTTACTAGAATTCCCTTATACTGTACATGCCATGTAAAAATGAATTTGTAACACACCAAACTAAATATTAAACACAAGTAACTGCATGGGGATACATTTACTAAATATGGTTTATGGTTGAACTGGATGGACCAGTTCTTTTTTCAGCAAGACCAACTATGTAACTATATGTAAATAGCTGGCAGTGGTCCATAATGATTAGTTCTAAGACTGGTTTTTATTCTCATACCAGTCAAATGAATATTTAAAAATTATTTTTTTAAATAAAATGACCTTACTTTTGTTGGGAGTTTGTGCAAAAATGCAAAAATGGAAACAAGCATAAAGATTTTAGTTTAGGTGATATCATTTACTGTCTAACATAAATTATTACAGATAGAAGCTTTAAGGGCCACCTAGATCCTTTTCTCAGGCTTTACACCAAAAAGTATTGGTATAAAGCCTAAGGAGTAGAGAAGGGCTAGAACTACATACTGGGTATGCGTTGGGAAAATTTACAGTCTTTATTTGCCCTAGTGTCACAAGGCCTTGAATGTATGGGAAAATCCAAATAATTCAGAACAGGAATAGAGGAGAAATCTTCCAATGATAAAACCTCTCAGTGACACCTTTTATAAAGGATTTTCTCTCTACTTAACAGGATGGAGGAAGAAACTTTTTTTATGTCTATAGAATGGTGAAGGGAAACATCCCAATGGGATGCAGATGGCAAAACAATCTGCTCATTTTGACTAACCTCTTCTATTTTCTCTGTAACTTAGTTTTTGTGTTTATTTTTTGGAATAATAATAATAATAATAGGCCACTACCATAGATTATGTTGCTGCTAATTTCCACTAGTTTATATACTGTAGATCTTTTAATGTTGTTTTCTCAACTGAAAACTGTTAAAACTAAAAATAATGATTAAACAGATTATTAAACTTTTAAATGTTCAAATATCATATAAATTATATACAAAGTATGTTTATATTACATTCTTAATGTAACAAAATATGTCAAGACTCTGGTAAGAAGGTAGCCAGCCTGGAAACACTGAAAGAAAAGAACAGTATAAAACAGGCATCCTTGTTTTTATAAACAGAAATAACTATCTCTTGATAAACATGGATGACACGTCTTGTAGGTATAAATCATATAATCAATGATTTGTCAAGGTTTCAGAAGCAAAAAATGTAAATGGATAAAATCACCAATGGATGAGAAGCTGTATGTGAAGACCTACATCAGGAGCTATTTCAAAGTCCTGTTGCTGATCTGTTCATTTTTCTTTGTCTCTGCAGCTAACACACTGAATGCTGAACATTGATGGTATAATGCACATTGTGCCTTTGAAGATATTCCTTTATGTATTTTAGTTTGCTCAGTACCTCACAGACACGTCTACAGGTGAGCTCCTGCCTTGCCAGTATCAACTTCTGCTTATAGCTTGATCATTGTAGCAGGCACTTTCCTCACAACAATGTTTTTGATGGTTTGTCATCTTTACCCTGAAAATATGATTGATCTTCACTATCTTTGTGTTGGAGTTCTGATGAAGAATAACATCATTTTACCGACTTGTCAAATGTGTTTATTATGTGAAACAATTGTAGAATGAGTCACTACCTTCTAAAACTGTAAAAAATGCACTGAGAGAAGACAGTTATAAAAAAGTAAGTGCAAAAATCAGCAGACATACATAAAACAGGGTGCAAACAGTATTGATGATACACAAAGTGAAGCAGCCCTTTCCAAGCAGTGAGATTTTAGTTTAATATGCATTCTGGCTGCTGTAGCTCTTCATTGCACTTTCGTTTTTTCCTAGATAAATGGGAATCCAGAAGTATGGTTACACTATTACATATTTCTATGACAATTAGCTTTTTTTAATGGGAAGTTGTTTTGTGTCAAGTTTATTATTAACTTTTTACTTTTTTTTATATTTACATTAGGGTTTTAAACTTATGTTTTATATCTCTACCATATGTATACACTATTTAATCAACAAACAAAAAAATGCAGTACATGAATACGGGTTAGCAAAGCACTAGGTGTTGGTTTAGGAGAATGCACAGGAGAAGTAGATTACAGTTGTCTCTCAATCATAATTTGGTTTGAGTCATCTGAAATGGATTGCTTTGATTCATTCAGTTCCCTGTGTAAATTTGCTGTGGTTCCGTAGTTTGTGTAAGCAGCATGGTTTCAACAACCAAAAAAAAACATTGTGCTCAAAGATAAATTTCCAAACAATTGTCACTAGAGATAAGCTGATCATATCTGGATTTGGTTTTGGGGTGGGTTTGGCAAACTTCTGATGTCAAACCCAAATCCTAATGACAGTCAATGGGAGCCAAATGTTAACAAAAAGTAATATTCATTTTCTAGCCTAATGTGCAAGGGTTGGGCAAACAAATGACATGGGGGCTGGGTACTACCCTAGGGAAAATCAAAAATGTAAATTCCATGTGGTGGGAAGCAGAGATTTTATTAATGCTTAAGGTTAAGCATTAAAGTGCAAACAAATAGCATGTTTGGGACTTACCCTTAACCTGTCTGTGTAATGTTGCATCTGTATGATGTATCCAACCTACTACAGCAAAACTGACATTTAAAAAGTAAAGAAATGCTGTTTAAAATGCCAGTAAATGACAGTTCCCAGCTTCCTTTTTTTGGAAACAAATTGCTGGGGATTCCTTTCATCTATACCAGACCTTTATCCTAGAGGAGGGTCTGTTATAAATATTAATCTGTGACCTTGTGCAAAAAAAACCAGCATGAGGTCTCCCCAAATTCCATACCACATCCTTTGGGGATTGAACAGTTTGATTTTCAAACACATTTAATTTGGCAGCTCACTAAACCTTTCAACAAGCAAAATTTGGTATGAGCATGGGTTTGAATCTAGGTTCATCCTTAATTGTCACCTAGAAAAGCAGCAGTCTGCAAGTATCGAGGGCAAAGTATATAAGAAATACAGCTTTTTTTTTATTTAAGATGATGATAAGATAGTGTAGCACCCTCCTAGTTAGCTAGGGGGAGCTGTAATGATTGTGTGCAATAGGGACATGGAAGCAGTAGGCCACAGCCATCTTGTTAGGATCTCAGCCATTTTGTTTTTCATGAGCCAGTGATCTTACTCCCTCCCTCCTTCTGCAAACTATGCAAATTTGTTGCTGTAACTTTTAACAAACTTTAAAAGAACCTCTTATCTCAATTAGGAACAGCAGAATGCAGCAAACAGACTTTGTCAGAGCTGTAAAACATTGTTGGCAGTTTGGCGTTTAAAGGGTTAATTACTTAGATAACTTAACACTGTGCCAATCGCTCCCAGGCTGCTGACACATAGACTGTGATCCCGCGAGCTGGAAAATCTTTGTGCAGGGTGCAGCTGAGAGTGACATTGTTACGTAAATGAAAAAAGTAAAATTAAAAACCTTTGCGCAATCACTTACAATAAACACAACAAACAATTATATCTCCTAAATAAAAGAAGAAAAGAAAAGATAAAAATATGCTGCCGCTAAGTCCCCATATGATCACACTACATGTTACAATATTCAATACAAAATCCGGACAGCACTACATATATAACACTGATATAGTCCTCATATGTGTGTCAATAGTCAATGCGACTTCGGGATAACACTGCATCTACAATAGTAAAATCCTCATATGTGAAAGTCCTTTTCAGCTTCCATATATACTAAATCCATCTTATCAAAGTGCACAGACCTGTAAATTTTATAACCCCACTTGTGAGATCCCGTCACCATCAGCCTCTCACCTGATATACTAAATGTTGGTCTAGTTGGCCTTTGACCCTTTTATCTCTGGGTTAAGGGGATTGTCTTCCTGATGGCATGCTCAGTACACTGGTGCAGATCAATCATCGATGTATATAGATGGAAAAATAAACTAACCTAGTGTGTACCAGAAATATCCAATATATTATAAAATATATATATAAAAAACACACACTCACAAAAAAAGTACACTATCCTAATGCACCGCAGATAAAAGCAATGATAGACCCTCTGATGAAGCAATGTTGGTGCAATGTGTAAGGATGTGAAGAGAGTGACACTAGGAATGGTTGACAGAGCCCTCCGGGTTGATCAAGACAGGAGGTAACCAGGGAATGAAAGCATGGAAGGGAGGACACTGATTATCCATACAGAATCCCCACGATGTGCTGCATTCATATGGAAGAATTGCTTCTATCTGCAGTGCACCGGGATAGTGCACTTTTTTTGTGAGTGTGTGTCTTTTATATATATTTTAGAATTTTATTTATTACATGTACTTATATATAGCACCATCAATTTACATATATATTTTACAGTTATATCAGTCCTTAACACTCAAGGGGCATACAATTAAGGCCCCCAACCAGGGGAGGACTGACCATTTCGAAACTCGGGCAATGCCCAAGGGCCCGGGGTCAGTAGGGGGCCCCATGAGATGCCCCTGGTACCTTTTTCATAGGCTTTTTTGAGTTTGGAGACAAGGACACAGGGGCCCCATATCCCCTATTGCCCGGGGGGCCCCATGAGTTGTCAGTCCGCCCCTAACTTACATTCATACATACACATATTAAGGCCAATTTAGACAGGATCTAATTAACCTACCAGCATGTCTTTTCAGTGCAGGAGGAAACCAGAGTACCTGGAGGAAACCCATGCAGGCACAGGGAGATCATGCAAAGTCCAGGCAGGTGGTGCCATTGCTGGGATTTGAACCCACGACCCTAGTACTGACAGGCGTAAGTGCTAACCATTTAGCCACTTGGATATTTCTAGTACACACTTTTAGTTTATTTTTCCATCTATATACATCAATGATTGATCTGCACCAGTGTACTGAGCATCCCATCAGGAACACAATCCCCATAACCCAGATATAAAAGGGGTAAAGGCCAACCAGACCAAAACTTAGTAGGTTATATATATCAGGTGAGAGGCTGATGGTGACGGTATCTCACAAGTGTTATAAAATTTACAGTTCTGTGCACTTGGATGGGATGGATTTAGTATATATGGAAACTGAAAAGGACTTTCACATATGAGGATTTTACTATTGTGGATGCAGTGTTATCCTGAAGTCGCATTGTCTATTGACGCACATATGAGGACTATATCAGTGATACATATGTAGAGGTGACCCAAATGTTGTATTGAATATTGTAACGTAAGTGACAGAACCTTTGTCATAAGGTGGTGAGAAGGGCAGGGGCCAGGCACCGCATTCGTCACAGGAGCTAATTAATTATTTTTTTAGTTAGAAGGGATGAGTAACAGCCTGGGGAAATAGTCAGATGGGTCAAACCTGGGTCAGGGCTGAGAGGCTCTGCAGATCAGTTCCTTCATGATCATGGCCTGAGGAAGAAGCACACATGCCCTGAACGTACACCGCCCACTAGCTGCTCTTCCACTGTCAGATCCGGAGATGTCACCACTACCAGCAGCAGATCCCAGCGCCTTCAGTCCACCTCTGCATCCAGCATGACCACATAGTCTGGGAACACACATCGCCACCAGCGGTCTGGACCACACAGTGGAAGTCAGCTGTAATAGTGATGTGCCTTATACAAGTCTCTCCTTGTGAGTTCCTATGCCTATTTTGTAATACATTAGATTTTATACTATTACTACACTCAGAAAGCGCTGCTGTTTCTCCTTCTTCTTAAGAGTGACTGAGCCTGCTCAGAGGCAGAAGAGTTGGGATGGAAGATTTGAGTAAGACTAAGATGCAGGAGCCTGAGAGGGGGATTAGTGGGAAGGTGCCTACCTCCAGGCAGAGCTGCAGGAAAGAGGAGGATCACTCAACCTTGGGAGTCCCCTAAGAGAGGACTACCTCTGCAGCCAAAGCCATCGCAGCAAAAGGCCTGAATGCAGCCACCAACCCAACAAGCACACATGAGATGAAGAGTGAGTAATCCTACACTCCCTCGGCCAGTAAAGGGGAAAGGGCATTCTGGTGGGAAACCTGACTAGCTACTTACCCGCGGTTGTTTTAACTTAAAGTGGCAGGCAGTAGATTCCTTTTCCCAGGGATCTCCTCCAGATAGCTGGATAAGAAGAGGATTCATCTGGGGTCTGGGGTGGTACACTATGAGAGGCTGGAGAGTTCTCCAGGAAAGAGGTTTTTGCTGTGAAAAGACTTGTACATAGTTGCCAGGAAGTTGTCCTCAGTTTACTGTTCCTTGGGCATTCCATACATCCCTTACCCCATCCAAGTTCAATACCCCTAATAAAACTTAAAAAAAAAAACAAGCTTAAGGACTGTTTACTGTCTCTGGAATGCAAGTCTGGGAAAATGCATGTTGTCTGGCTGTACAGGATCATAGGGGGACCCAAATCTTTAGCAACTGCTAAGGAGGTAGTGCTACAAGAACAATGGTATAGCAGCTGCTACAAACTTAACTTTACTAAAAAAAAAAAAAAAAAATCAATATTAAATGACTTTAACAATCAAACACTGTTAAGATGTATTATTATATTTATTCCGTAACTTTATATATTACAAATCTTTATCCAGTTTTAGGGGCTCAAGACAATAATAAACTAGCTATCTAAACATATAGAGGTCCTCATTTATTGTAAAGACATAAATATGTAAATAATCATTTAATGCAAACAGATATTAATGTGTTAAGCTGGCTAGACATGTGCACGCCAGAAATGTTAATATTGTTTCAGATGCATACGTTCGTTGAAGAATCTAGTTTGGTCATATTCGTTATGTTGACCTGATTCGTGTTTGGAATTTGTTTCATATCTTTGGCATTTGTTTCAAATGTTCATTGATCTGGGCGGATTAAAAAAGGTTTGCAGTTTTTCCAGAAAAGTTCTATATATATTCAATATATTATTGAATTGGTCGAATTCAAATTCAAATAATTCAGCATTTTCAGACGCTTGTCAAAACATCAAAAGAAATCACATGAGCCGATCGGACAATATTGACTGGCATCATGTACATCTGAATTAACAAATGTAACAAAATTTGGATCCATTCGTTTTTTCGAATCCGACTTATTGAACAAATAAAAAAAAAAAATGAATTAATTTCCTCATGGGCCTGAACTCCTGCATCATGTGACGACTTTCAAATAAAACAAATTAAACAAATGCAAAAAACTAAATGAAACAAAATCAAACACACATGTTTAAAGCTGGCTGTAGACGACTCAAATTGTGGTTGGTTAAACAGGAACCGGCTGAATTTCAATCCATCTATGGGCACGTTGGTTTTACTGAAGTCGATGATCATTGTATTCTTTCTTTGTTAGAATACAATAGTGCAGCTGGAGGGATTCAACCATCATCGCAGACTTGGGTAGATTTACTAAGATTGGTGCACTCAGGATCTAGTACAGCTGTGCATGGTAGCTAATCAGCTTCTAACTTCAGCTTGTTCAGCTTGACAATAAAACCTGTAAGCTGATTCCATGCAAAGCTGCACCAGATTTTGCCCTATGCAGGTTTAGTAAATAACTCCCACTATGTTGAGGGGAGAATCAAGCAGTTTTGGTTGAAGACTCAAAATGTTCATAATGTATGGCCTGCCTAAGTTCCTTGAGTAAACCATAAAAGCAGCTATTTTGGATGAGTATTTTTTTAGGGTCTTCAGAATATGTTGGAAATATTGACAAAAAGAGATAATAATAATAGGGTGTGTTTTTATAACACTGGTACATGTATTACAAACATTACAAGAAAAAACACAACAAAAGAATATGGCGTTTTGTTTTTTTTAATAGCATATTACTTATCTCTTATAAGGTACACATGTTAACCTTGTAAGGCAGTTATTTATTCAATTAGCTACAGTATATAGTGGTTGCAGTTTAATCCAGATAAAACCTCAACAATCATATTGCATTCAAAGAATAAAACAATGACATGACTACATCAAGTAGAAAATAAGTATTTCATCTGTGCTACAAAACTCTGTATTGAATTCCAGGAGAATTTAAATTGCTGCATATAAAGATAGACATCTAATTTTCTAGGACTGCATGTATTCAAGATTTGATATCTTTTCTTAGCTTTGTCCACAATGGTCAAAACTATCCTTTTTATCCACTGCACCAAAGAAAGAACCATTTGTTATACTAGTATATTTCAAAGACTTTCTAAAAGGCTATCTTCCTTCATTTTCTACAGCAATACAAAAATGCACTGCCAGGACAAAGTAAATGGATTAATTAACTTTTCAGTGTGAGAGAGAAAAAAGTATCTTGTCTTTATCGTCTCTGATTTCAGTAACTGAGTCAAAGCTATTGAGAAGCACATATCCTTCTAATGACTTAATCACCTAATTAGTTGACTTGCAAAGGCAAATGAACAGAGATATGTTCTAATTCCCAAGTACATACTCCCAAAGTAAATTACTTCAGTTTAGTCCTTATGATTACAGCTTTTGAACAAAGGTGGTGTCAAATTTTCCATTTAAGCCATTTAAAAAACAAACCCCTCTACAGAAAGGGGTCTTTGCAATTGGCATTTAATTCTCTAAGGAGTGTTTTATCTAATCTACCAGGGCAAGTAATGCTCTTGCTGTTGGTCAGTTTTAAATTTCAAAGGTATATTGCAATCAAATATCAAGATTTTTGCATTTAAACACACTCAGCGGATGAGGCTTATCAGACCATTTCCTATACATCTCAAGAAGACCTCTCCTTTTGCTGACAAACTTGGTTGGAATAGGCTTTCAAGATGTCTCCATGAGACATACAAGATACATTCATTCAAGATAAATAAAATTATTACTGTGACATAAACAGTTTATGTGCCGGTAACTTCATGATCATTAGTTATACAGTGATTTGTAAAGTCTCTAGAGTTGGTATGCCATCCTAAAAATACTAAAAACGTATATTTTCAGTACATGTGTAGCTACTAAAAATATTACTTCATGAAATTTTATGAACGCCACTCTCACATAACGAATGTTAGACTGACTAGTACAAAATATTGAAATTCAGAATCAAAGAAACCTTTATATCACATGAATAGGAGTAGTATTTGATTGCATCAAATAAATACATGATCCTAAATATACCTGTAAGTTCTGTATGAAAGAGAAGAAAAATGAATCATATATATATGATTAGTAAAAGTCAAGAGACTAAATGAAGATTTACATTTTGTTAGGTGATCCAGATGACATAAGAGGGATTTCATACTATTGTGTGCTATTGAAAACCCACAGACCAGGAACATTCCCCTTTCTGAATGGTCTAATATCCAATGTGAAATAAAGGATACAGCTTTTGTTCATGTCACTAGTGGCTCTATTAGAAACAATCAATGCTATTCCACAGCTACATAGAGCATGGTGTGACTCTCTTTGGTGTTCTGACCTCAGAATAAGAAAACCAGGTAATTAAATGTGAAAACTCATGCAACAGGGGGAGCCTCTTTCTGCTCTGTTAGATTTGTGAAAATACTTGCTCAGCCATAGTCAACAGAAGATGGATGAAGAATACAGCAAGAAGGCTCTTAAGAAACAATAGGTTTACAATGATCCTAAATGCACCATGTAACAA